CCCCCCCCCCCCCACATCACAATCTTAAATCATGTTTCGTTACAGTACTCCCTTTTCTTAACCAAAAATTTCACTAATTTATGTTAAATATTTTATCACATTTTAGGTTACATATTGTTTCTAATTTTCTATATTTACTTCTAAATACAAGTATAACAATGCAGTCTTATGTATCTTTCTAGAATCCCTTTAACCATAAAGCTTATCCATTATCTCTAAAAAAAGTTTTCTTCTTAACATCTTGCTCCCCACCATTAGGACTTCTCATCCCTTCCTTTCTTTCTTGTTTCTTCTTCTCCTTATCCTCTTTAACCCCTTGTCTCTCCACCTCCCTTTTATTTTGCTTTCCCCCTTTCTGTTGTTTCTTAACATAATGTCCCCTTTTCACCTTATTCTTCTCTTTTTGGGCTATTTTTCCAGATCTTAAAGACCTTTTTCCCTTTTTCTCTTGCTTTTTCTCTTCTCCAGTCAAAGTAATTTGTTCATCAAAGATGGCTTCTCCTTCTTCTTTGTCCCCATCATCCTCATTCCGCTTCATAAGTTCCACTTCATCCATAGATGATGCCATTGTGTAGAGAAAAAGTTTTTCCAAACAACCACCCAGATGATTTAATCAGAAGTAATTTCCAAAGGTTCCAAAGTCACCAAACAATCCAAACAGACTATTTCTTTTAGATACCTTCTTCTTCTTCACTTTCTCTTTCTGGGGTTAAAGTAATCACAAATCCTTTTCAAATATATTTTTTGGAAGTTTTTAAACTCTTTATAATTCTAGGCAATCTTCTCCTTATTTTCAAATTTTGCTCTAATTCTTTTTTTCACTCTCCCTTCCCACTCACAGCCAAAAAGGTTTTTTTTTTCCCCGCTGTCACTTTAGGAAGGAGAGTAGAACAAAGAAAAAACTTTCCCCTTTAGAATATTCGCAGCTTAAAAACTCTCACAGGGAACAATATATACTTAGCAGCCTTCAAGATTCCAGGTCATTTTCTCCCGTTTTGTCCCGGTTAGAATCAACTTTCACTTTTCTTTCAGCTTCCTCCCTCCTGCACCTGCTTGTCCGGCTGCAGCTTTCTTCGTGGCGGCCATTGCTGACCGCCGTTCCTCTGCCTCGGGAAAAGGGGGTTTAGCCGGCAGGGGAGGGGGTTTGCGACACCCCCAAACCCCTTGCCGGATCCCCCCTGTCTTCAGCTGCCTCTGTGGGGCAGCTATATCCCCCAGATCCAAATGGATCGGGGGAACCTTGACGGTGAACGCAGCAGGGATCACGTGGTCGCGAATCCCTGCCGCCACCGCAAGGTTGCAAACCGGAAGTCCGCAATATTTCAATTTTTAAATACACAGTATTCTGAGGAAAAGATCTTGAAATTACATATTAAAAGAACATTGACTGGCAATATCTACAAGCCAGAGCTAACAAAACTTGCTCCCCTCTGATCTTCACCCAATTTAATAATTACGGACTGAGGATGGCTTCCTATTTTTACACTCTAACCATTCCCAAGTATAGAAGAGCTTTCTCCCTAGCTCGCTTTAATGTTCTGCCCTCAGCACTACTGGATGGGCGATTTAAGAGGCTCCCGATTAACGAGCGGCTATGCCCCTGTCACAGAGCTGAGGTTGAAACTGTGGAGCATGTCCTTTTCTATTGCCCATGTCCTTTTCTATACGCAGGAAGATCTAAGTTTCTGCCCTTGAAACAGACCCTTCTAGACCCAATGTTAGTGATTTGTTCTTACATTGTCTAGGGCAGGGGTCCCCAACCACCGGTCCGCGGACTGGTACCGGTCCGCGGAACAACTCCTCCGGGCCGCTGGCTTGCTGGGCGCC